TGATATAAACTAATATCAGGGAGACCAAATCCTCCTTCATTGAATGGGAGTCACATCCTCTTTAAAGACATCTGAGGTGGTGAGGGAACCCTGCATACATTTCCAAAACAAAGTATTAATTTTATGACAATATCATAAAATTACAACTGCTAGAATATTATATGCTAAATATTGGAGAAGAAAGGAGATACCTTCCAAAGAAGAAATAATAAACAAACTACTCGAAACTGCTGAAATGGACAAATTAACTTTAATTTTGAAAGGATATAAAGAGGAAAACTTTGAAAATACATGGTCAATACTTTATAGTTGGATTGTAGAACACATTAAATGAAATGTGAACACAACCGAAATAGAGGACAATGAGAACGTCTATATTAAACTGTGCAAAAGGTATATTTAACATTATAAGCTGTAGAAACATACTTTTTTGAGGGATGTATGGACAACTTAATAGTCAACTCAAAGAGTCGGAGATTCTCCCGTTGAATGTTTGTATGTACTATTGTTTGTTTTTGTTTGTTTGTCTTTGTCTGTTTGTTATAAAATAAAAAACAATATTTACTGGACTATATCTGCAAGATACATCGAAAGGAATTGCACGTAAAATATAAACAATCCTAGGTATTATTTGCTTACCCCATAAAGACAGATTTAAAGTTAATGTTGCTTCTGTTTTATTTCATAAATTTTCTAGTGATCGTTAAACAGTTAAATTCATGACTACATACAGCAGGGATGTCAAACTCATTTGTTATGAGGGCCGGATCTGACATAAATGAGACCTCGTTGGGTTGGGCCACGTGTGTCATAAAATGTAATGCCAGGTAGCAGAGATATAAACTGTATAAAGGACACAAACACAAAGGGTTGTTTTTTTTTACTTTAAATAAAAACATGCTTCGAACATTAACACTCTTGCAATATTTTGTTTATTTAACAGTGTCTGATAACAGACACCTCTTGCTCTGAATTATTGCCTCGAAATGTCTCTGCTGTTGCCATCCTGAGTATGCTGTTCAGGTGTGTATCTGTAAGCTGCAAACCTACGACGATGCAGCAGCAGCAGAACTGGGAGAAGAAGCAGAAGACAGCCGGTTCCACTGTGGGCCTGAGAAGAAGCCCTCCGGGGGCCTCATCCGGCCCCTGGGCCGCATGTTTGACACCCCTGTCATACAGCATTTGGTCCTTTCATCTTATCTTGATGGATCTAGGGATGCCAGCCTCCCCAGGCCCCAAGAGTTTCCCAGCCTGGATCAGGCAACCCTACCCCCCCCCCGCCGCCGCCAATGGCCAGGGGGGACCTGGAAACCCGATTCCTTAAAGTGTTTGGTTGCCAGGAACACACAGGCCCAAGCCGTGCCTCTTGGCCTTCTCACAGGAGAACAAAGTGAATACTGGGTTGTTGGGTTTTTTTGCAATGAGTTCTTTTGCCTTTCATGCAAAATGTTCCTTTGGCTGCAGGGCAAGAGGCGAAAGGTTCGGGTTGGTACAGAAGGAGACAAAGGGCTCTGGAAAGCTTCCCTCAGTCATGTGAAACCTGTGAAATTTGCAGCTGACAGACCGATGGAACTCAGTGGCTGGTAATGAGATTGTCCAGGGGGCCAAACCTCCTGTCAACACTGGAGGAGTATGCCCCCCTCAAGAAGAAGGAGGAGGAGGAGGAGGACGACGAGGGATTGGATTTATACCCCACCCTTCACTACCCAAAGGAGTCTCTGAGCGGCTTCCAAACTCCTTTCCCTTCCCCTCCCAACAACAGGCACCCTGTGAGGCAGGTGGGGCTGAGAGAGCTCTGACAGAAACGGCTCTTTTTCAAGGACAGCTTTGACAGAACTATGTCTTGCCCAAGGTCATCCAGCCAGGTGCCAGTTTGGTGTGAGAGCCATTTTTGTGTAGTGGTTAAGTGCGCAGACTCTAATCTGGGACAACCACATTTGATTCCCCACTCCTCCACTTGCACCTGGCTGGATGACCTTGGGCAAGCCATAGTTCTCTCAGAGATGTGAGCCCGCGCTGACGTTGGCCGGAGTGGGGGGGCGCTGAGCGGCGAGACAGCACCCTGAGAGAAAGCGCAGCTCCCCGGCCCTCCTCCGCCTCCTCCGCCACCGCAGCTGCTCCATCCTGGGCACGGGGCAGTGGGCTGTGGAGGAGGAACCGCCCGCCGATGGTGCGAGCCTGCGCCGACGTCGGACGGAGCGGGGAGGGGGCCTGAGCGGCGAGACAGCGCCCTGCTGGAGAGCAGTTTGGCGCCCTAAGGGCTGGCTCGTGCTCTAGGCAAATGCCTAGTTCACCTAGCGGGTGAGCCGGCCCTGCCTACAGGAAAAAGGAGGAACACATGGTGTGGCAAGATTAAAAGTAACAAGGTAACACCATGTACAATGTTTGCTGCTTACTGACTATTTACTGTCCTATAGCATATGAAATCCCAACAATATAATTTTACAATAATTCAAAGGTATAAGTCTCTAACAATGTTCCCGCTAAGCTGTGGGGTCTTGTGAGCAAAAATTCTACTTTGTGAGCTACAGGCATTAAAGTTGTGAGCAAGCAATATGGCTAGTGCATAAATTAGCTTGCTCTGGAGCCATCCTTCCTGAGCTAAGACAAAAAATGTGTGAGCCGGAGGCTGAAAAACTGTGAGCTAGCTCACACTAACTCAGCTTAGAGGGAACACTGGTCTCTAATTGTTCACAGATATAAAGTTTCACAACAAGAAATGGTGAGCACCTGTTTCAAAGCTTGTAAAAGTAGCCAAAAATATTTATTTATTTTTAGTTGCTCCCAATATTTAACTGGGGACAGGATAGTCCAAATACAATGGAGAAGCTATCAATGACCAGGTTTTCTTCACCTTTCAGGATCCATCTTCCAGGTTGTGAGTTATCAATGGAACCAATGCTCAAGAGTAATTATTTTGGTAAGCAGCACATGCTCCCTCTAAGCTGCGGAGTCCTGTGAGCAAAAATTCTACTTTGTGAGCTACTGGAATTAAAGTTGTGAGCAAGCGATTTGGCTACTGCATAAATTTAGTTTGCTCTGGAGTCATCCTTCCTGACCTGAGACAAAAATGTGTGAGCTGGAGGCTAAAAAACTGTGAGCTAGCTTACACTAACTCAGCTTAGAGGGAACACTGTTCATGACCAACATGACTACACTCTGAATATTTCCAGGGGATAAGTGTTTGAGAGAAAAAGAAGAAGAAGAGATTGGATTTATACCTCACCCAAAGGAGTCATAGAGCAGCTTACAATCTCCTTTTCCTTCCCTTCACCACAACAGACACCCTGTGAGCAATGCTCCCTCTAAGCTGTGGAGTCTTGTGAGCAAGAATTCTACTTTGTGAGCTACTGGCATTAAAATTGTGAGCCAGCAATTTGCTCTGGAGTCATCCTTCCTGAGCTAAGACAAAAAGGTGTGAGCTGGAGGCTAAAAAACTGTGAGCTAGCTCACACTAACTCAGCTTAGAGGGAACACTGCCTGTGAGGTAGGCGGGGCTGAGAGAGCTCTCTCAAGAACTTCTCTTTCAAGAACAGCTCTTATCAGAACTACGGCTTGCCCAAGGTCACCCAGCAGCTGCAAGTGGAGGAGTGGGGAATCAAACGCGGTTGTCCCAGATTAGAGTCTGCGCACTTAACCACTACACCAAACTGGCTCCTTTTGACTTCTGAAAGCTTATACCCTGGAAAAGGTCAAGAGTCCAGCAGCACCTTAAAGTCTGGCAAAATATGTGGCAAGGCAGTGAGCAGTGACTCACAAGAGCTCATATGCCCTGCCACATATTTTGTTCGCCTTTAAGGTGCTCCTGGACTCATGCTCTTTTATACTGTTACAGGTACATTAACACAGCTTGATCTCTCTCCCTGGAAATCTTGTCGGTCTTTTAAGGAGAAGAAGAAGAGATTGGATTTATACCCCGCCCTTCACTACCCAAAGGTGTCTCAGAGCGGCTTACAAACTCCTTTCCCTTCCCCTCCCCACAACAGGTAGGTGAGGCTGAAAGAGCTCTAACAGAAACTGCTCTTTTTCAAGAACAGCTCTTATCAGAACTATGGCTTGCCCAAGGTCCTCCAGCAGCTGCAAGTGGAGGAGTGGGGAATCAAACCCGGTTCTCCCAGATCAGAGTCCGCGCACTTAACCACGACACCAAACTGGCTTTCAAGGTGCTACCAGACTTGAATCTTGTTCTTCTGAAAACCAACACAGCTACCTGCCTGAAATTACCAAAGGGGAGAGTGAAGGAAGAACAGAATAACAAATTGGGACAGACGGAGAAAAAACCCACCCCCAGTATCTGCCCCTTCCTCCCCCTGCCATTCCTTGTGGGTCCTGACTTCCAAGAACATATTACTGTTGCATTAGCTAAACTATCAGTCATACAAGGGTACAGCAAATTAACAATGATGAACTATAAACCAAGGGTGATTGCTGTAAAAAGTTCACGCATACATAGAACAAAGGAAAAATTTCCTGAAGCTGTAATAATTTTCTTCTTTATTCCATAGGTGAATTTAGGTAATATTGACGAACATCTCGAGTTTTGCAAGTTCGTTTCTGAATCTTTGTCAAAATTCGGTGTCAAAATGTTTTTTTCTCATGTAACAATCCCATTTGCATCTGTATAGACCTCGTTATCGTGCTGGCTATGAATAGCTCTACTAATCACAATTCATATCTTCAAAGACGGACAGTGTCTACAAGACGAGGTCTATACAGATGCAAATGGGATTGTTACATGAGAAAAAAACATTTTGACACCGAATTTTGAAAAAGATTCAGAAACGAACTTGCAAAACTCGAGATGTTCGTCAATTTCACCTAAATTCACCTATGGAATAAAGAAGAAAATTATTACAGCTTCAGGAAATTTTTCCTTTGTTCTATGTATACGTGAACTTTTTACAGCAATCACCCTTGGTTTATAGTTCAGCATTAGCTAAACTAAACACGAGGCAAAGCATAGCAGATCTATAACAACAACGACACCAACGGCAATGCTTCTATTTTGTGTTTAACTGACAGCGTAGGCGATATCTAAATTGGATGTCATGGACCGGCAGAGTTGTTCCAAACCCAAACTGGCTCTTATCAGCCGGCGGGATTTCTTCTCCCCCGTCGACCAGTTCAAGGTCAAACCAGGCCAGCATGAGGAAAACAAACATTTTTATTTCGGTCACGGCGAAGAAGCGTCCGGGGCATTTGGACGGCCCTATCCCAAAAGGCATGTTATGGTACTTCAGCTTTTTCCCACTCTTGTAGAAGTTCTTCGCAAGACCCTCGGAGTTCAGAAACCGGTCGTATCGGAAAGTCATAGGCTCGGGATAGACTTCCGGGTCCGTCTGCGCGGCCACGAAAGGGGAAAGTGCGATTCTGTCCCCCCTGCGGAGAGCGTATTTCCTCCCGTTGTCCATCTGGAGGTCCATGTCCTTCACCACGGCCCTCATCAATATTGACCTCACTTTCAAGCGCAACGTTTCCTCAATCACACTGTCCAGAACTGGGCTCTTGGTTAACATCTTCCTGGTGAGGTCAAACAGCGGGTCACCTAATTCCACGTGTGGACCGTTCTCTCGGAGCAGCCCGTCTACCTCTTTCCTCGCGGCTTCCATGGCTTCGGGATATTTTAGAAGGTGGACGAGGACCCAGAAGGAAGCCGGGCCAGTATTCGTTTGGACGGCCCAGAGAAAAAGGAACAGGTGTCTAGCTCTGATGTTTTCAGGCATCCCCTTTTCAGCCCACATTCGTTCTTGTTCGCTTATCCAGCTACTGACGTTGTGCCGCTTATGGACTTTACTCACCGACAGGCTATCCCAGAAGAGATTGTAGAGCTGCTGTACTTCTTTTCTTTTCCCAGGAGTCAAAGTCTTATAGGCCAGGCTGGGGACCAGGAGATCAAATTTTTGCAGTTCTTCAAAGAGCTTTTCGAACTGAACGATTTCGTCGTCAGTCAGGCTTACCTCCTTCTCTGCCTTATCGTCCGACTCGCGGCCGAAGAAGCTGAGGAAGGAAGCCTTGAAAATGGTGTTGCAGCTGTAGTGGTAGACGCCGTCTTGTTGCCAGGAGCCGCCCCCCTCTCTGGAGCCCCTCTCGTGGAACATCACGGTCTGCAAGTTCTCAACCATGGCCTGATTCATAACCGCCAATCCCTCTCCCATGAGGTATTTGACACTTAACGCCTGCATCCGCTTGTGGTCTTCCCCAGCAGGGTTAAAGCGAAACAGGGCCGAGACCACCTCCGAGCCAAACATAGCAAAGTCCAGCTTGCTTTTGGATTCTTTCACGATGGTTCCGTAAGAATGAGGGTCCAGCACAAACGTGATGAAGTGGCCTCCGATCAGGAGAGTGAAGATGTCCCCGTGCTTCTTTTGCATCTTTTGCAGAAGACCGAGGCCGTCTTTCTTGAAATCCAGCGCGTAACCCAGCCACGGAAGGAAGCCTTTGTCCAGGGGTGGTTCCTTAGCTCTTTGCCTGCGGAACGCGCCGATCAAATAGAGCCCGGCAAACAAGAACAGGAGAAGGGCGGACAGCACCGTCTCCCAGGCTGCCATTCTGTCAGCGTTCAGGTGAAGAATGACTGTAGCTGCTAGCCCTTTATGTGCATAAATAATTTCCACCACAGCTTTGGGCGTGATTGTTTAATGGCCGTGGGTAGCAGAACAGGTTGTAACAATGCGCTGGCTTTTCCTAAGCATCCCGCAGCCTCTGGCAAGTGAAGTTTGCCTCATTAACGTGATCCCGTCACTCCTAATTGGTAGAACAGACGGAAGGTGCCAAGCAGGGCAAGTTACTGTGGGCATCGGAGTAGCAGACTAAACTTCTTCAACTCTCGTGTCTAACGTAAAGACAGTTTGGAGAAAGAGTACCGGGTGCTACCACAAAATGGCAGCCACAGGGACCATTTGCCCGCTGCTGGTGGGTAAACTCCCACCTTCTGCTCCCTGAGGAGCAGGGAGGTAAAAAGGCCAGAAAAGTGGCCTCCATAGTGAGGCCATAGTGAGTCTCTGGGAATCTCTCCATTGTTCTATAGTCTTTACCATAGAGATCAGGGGAAATTCCTAGAGTGTCACTCAGAAGTGACATCCCGTCCTCCCCAAACTTCACCCTCCCCTGGCACTACCCACAACATTTCCTGGCATTTCCTGAGGCAGTGCTGGGAACTCTATCTGGGTGCCCCTGTCTTCTGCGATTATGAAGGTTGCCAGCAATAGGACTTATTAGGTAGTGCTGTCCCACCTCCGAAGCGCCTTCCCTGTATCTTTTCATCTGGCAGCTACACAAATGACTTCTAGGTGTCAGGTAAAATCCCCAGGATTCTGATTTTACTGACCTTGGTTTACTGAGACTATCATGCTCCCCATCCACTTCCCTCCCTCAGAGCCAAGATTTTCCCTTCATTCTTCTGTCCTTTCACTGACTGAGCAGCCCTGGTAATGTGTTTTTTCCCCCTCCCCTGAGGAAACTTTGCTGTCCCAACCTGCCAATAAGATATATTTTGGCTATTTGGTCAGCCCAGGAACCTGAGGGAAGGGATAGGATCACCCTTAAACCCTTGAAAATGGCTGTTGAGACACTTTAAAATCCAAAAATAACAAAAGGTTTTATTTAACTTTGAGGTGAAAAGGTCGGGTGAAATCAGGGATTGAAATTGCTGAGGTAAAACTAGTACAAGCACAGAATTTTGTTCTTATATATCAGGCTAATGAGAGGTTCTTAAATTATTCACAGTTACCTCACAGTCCGTCACAGACAGATTGATCCTTTTAATTTTACTGTCATTTTAGATCTTGTTTTATTGAATGTTAATTATTTATTTAGCATGCCTATACTCTCAGCAGTTTGGTGTAGTGGTCAAAGTCCTGGACTGGGATCAGAGAGACCAAGATCCAGATTCCCAAATTGCCGTGAAACTTACTGGATCATCCTGGGCCTGTCATTCTTCCTCAGCCTAACCTACCTTGCAGGGTTGTGATGAGGATAAAATGAAGAAGAAGAAAGTCATGCACACTTTCCTGAATCCCTTCGATCAAAGTTCATTAAATATTAAAGAAGCATTTAGTATTCCAATATCGAATCAATATTTCGTACTCAATATTTAGTATTTAATGGCGGCTTACAAAAGTAAAAAAAAAAAAGTAGTATGCATTAAAACATTACGTCAATAAAAAGAGCAGCTGGGGGGGGGGGAAATCAAGGAACCAGCAAAGCACCATAGCTTGGATGGCTGAAAAGGTCTTGCTCTTAATCTGCCCGTCAGTGGCCGATTGGCTGATTCCACACAGTGATTTCCCCTCACGTGGGATACGTAGAGTTGTCAGGCTGAGGTGACGCCACCATGTCATTTCCACGTGAAACCATAGAGTTTCTGGCAATTCCTAGAGCTACCCTATTGTCACTTCCGGGTTTTACCCGGAAGTGACATAGAAATATCAGTGATGTTGCTGTTCTGTTTGTTTCTCCCGCCACTTCCCAGAGCGGCAGTAGGCAGGCAAGGGGGCTTGCCAGACGGAGGCCTCCCACCATAGCTGGACACATCACAAGCTGAGGAACACAGCAGGCCCTCCCTTTTGGGGGTCCCCTTCCACATGAGTGATCTTTCCAAGCACAATATGCAGGGTTTCGGGGGCTTTCTCCTTTGAGCCAACCCCCCCCCCTTCCCTGACTTTAAGGAGAGCCCTCAGGGTGACTGGTAGTGGAGTCCCCAAGGGGAAGCTTGGTCCACAGCCAGTCTGGATAGCCAGTTTGGTGCAGTGGTTAAGAGCACAGACTCTAATCTGGGAGATCCGGGTTTGATTCGCCACTCGTCCACTTGAACCTGGCTGGATGACCTTGGGCAAGCCTTAGCGCTGATAAGAACTGTCCTTGAAAAAGAGCTGTTTCTGTCAAGAGCTCTCTCAGCCCAACCTACCTCACTGGGTGTCTGTTGTGGGGAGGGGAAGGGAAAGGAGTTTGTAAGCCGCTCTGAGACTCCTGCGGGTAGTGAAGGGTGAGGTACAGGGGGCGTTTCATAGAAAAAGAGCTAGGGGGACTCATTAGCATAACTCATTAGCATATGCCACCCCCCTTGACATCACCAGAAGTGTGTCATAAGGCCACACCCCCCGCCGCCAACGGTCCCGGCCGCCGGTGCCGGCCTTGCAGCTCCACTGCCGAGCCCCATGAGGGGCCCGGCGGTGGACCTGCAAGGCTTGCGGGAGCGCGAAGGACCTCCTCCTGGCTGAATGAGGGCCGGAAGCGGGGCGGCCGGAAGCAGGGGGTGGGGCTTCATCATGTGTACCGCCCCCCTGTACGTCACCCGGGGGGAACTGCAATCCCCCGCGATCCCCCCCGAAATGACCTCTGGTGAGGTATATATCCAATCTCCTCCTCCTCTTCTTCAATTGAGGGTGGATGGAGCTAGGCTCAGCTTTCAGAAAGGTGGAGCTCTGTTCCATTTTCCTCCTCTCACTTCAGCCTATAAATGGGCTCATTTTTAGGTCACGGCAGCCTGAGCAGACCAGATTAGCCTGATTTCACACAAACACATGAAGCTGCCTTCTACTGAATCAGACCCCTGGCCCATCAGAGTCAGTGTTGTCTACTCAGACCGGTAGCGTCTCTCCGGGGTCTCAGGCTGAGGTCTCTCACATCACCTACTGCCAGATCTTTTAACTGGAGATGCCGGGGATTGAACCTGGGACCTCCTGCACGCCGAGCAGAGGCTCTGCCAGTGAGCCACAGCCACGTTTCCCCGTTAAGGGGAAATGCCGCTCAAACAAATTACAAAGATGATCTGACGCCAATGGTAACAAGAGAAAGAAATTTTACTTACAAAAATAGAAGCACATATTATATGGCATATTCCTATAGGTACACTTAACGTCAAAAGGTTAACTTGCTACAGCTCCAAGCCCAGGTAAGAGAGAGAAGGAGAGAGGCCCTATATAAAATGTGTGAACCGGATGCTAAAAAACTGTGCACTAGCTTGCACTAACTCAGCTTAGAGGGAACACTGCTCACAGAGAGGTCCTATATAAGGGGAAGCAGAAGTCAAGCGAGGACCAAAGATGGCTCAACATCTGACCCGTGAGAGGGCGGGGCCAACTGCCAAGTGTATCTGAGCAGAGAAAGAATTCTCTTCGCCGTTTCCCTCCCAGGTTCCTCTTGCATGTGCAGAGTTACAGCATCCGAAAATGACTCCTGATGGAGGTTAAGGTCGGTCATATGGAAAGAGGCGGTTCGTGCGATGCCTGGCCATCTAAGGCTATAAACCTGAAAACCTTCCTGGGAACAAGCCTGCCTGGGAAAGCTGGATCGAGATGAAGGCGGAGTGAAAATTGGTGGAAGACACGATAACAATTTGAGATATGCAAATGACACCACATTATTGGCAGAGAACAGTGAAGAACTGAAATGAGTGTCGGATTAAATGCAAAAAAAAAATTCCTTGGAATTGCAGAAGTTTTATGCGGTATCCCCCGATCCTCCATGTTTCCCAGTGAAGGGGAAATGCTATGAGAACCGGTTTGGTGTCGTGGTTAGGAGCGCGGACCCTAATCTGGGAGAACAACTCCTCCACATGCAGCTGCCAGCATGACCTTGGATCAGTCATAAGTTCTTTCAGAGCTGTTCTCTCAAGGACAGTCCCTGGGAGAGCTCTCTCTGCCCCACCTACCTCCCAGGCAGTGTTCCCTCTAAGCTGATTTAGTGTGAGCTAGCTCACAGTTTTTTAGCCTCAGTGAAGACCTAAAATGTGTGTTGGATTAAATGAAAAAAAAAAATCCTTGGAAACGCAGAAGTTTTATGCGGTATCCCCCAATCCTCCATGTTTCCCAGTTAAGGGGAAATGCTGTGAGAACCAATTTGGTGTCATGGTTAGGAGCGTGGCCTCTAATCTGGGAGAACCACGTTTGGTTCCCCACTTCTCTACATGCAGCTGCTGGCGTGATCTTGGATCAGTCATAAGTTCTTTCAGAGCTGTTCTCTCAAGAGCAGTCTTCGGGAGAGCTCTCTCAGCCCCACCTACCTCACAAGGCAGTGTTCCCTCTAAGCTGAGTTTGTGTGAGGGAGCTCACAGTTTTTTAGGCTCTGGGTCACACATTTTGTCTTAGCTCAGGAAGGATGGCTCCAGAGCAGTAGCTGACAAAGTAGAATTTTTGCTCACAAAACTCCACAGCATAGAGGGAGCATTGCTCACGGGGTGTCTGTTGTGGGGAGGGGAAGGGAAAGGAGATTGTAAGTCGCTCTGAGATGCCTTCAGTTAGTGAAGGGCAGGGTATTAATCCAATCTCCTCCTCCTCCTCCTCTTCTTTTTCTTCTAATTCTAATTCTTCTTCTTCTTCTTCCCTTCAAACAAATTACAAAGATGATCTGACTCCGAGGGTAACGAGAGAAAGAAATTTTACTTACAAAAATAGGAGCACATCTTACATGACAGATTCGTGTAGTTATGCTTAACTAACTTCAAAAGGTTAACTTGCTACAGCTCCAAGCCCAGGTAAGTGAGAGAAGAAGAGAGGTCCTATATGAAATGTGTGAACCGGAGGCTAAAAAACTGTGCGCTAGCTTGCAC